TTTTTTGGTTTATTTTGTCTCCCTTTTTTTGTCGTTTCCCCCCCCCCTTCCCTTTATCCCCTCTGTATATTTGTCCTGGAAGTGCTTGCAAATCCTCCTCGCTGTACCCGAACCAATAAACGCCCTTGTCAACCCCAGTCCGTGGTGTCGTGCGGGGCCGGGGCGGGGACCGGGGCGGGATGGGGCGGCCCCGGGGGCGGAGCGGCGGGGTCAGACCGAGTTCGGAGCGATGGCGGCGGCCGCCTACGAGCTGCTGGTGCTGGGCGGGGGCTCCGGGGGGCTGGCAGGGGCCCGGCGGGCGGCCGAGCTGGGAGCCCGCGTCGCGCTGGTGGAGCCGCGGCGCCTCGGCGGCACCTGCGTGAGTCACTTGCGGGGGGACCCGCGGCGTGGGGCGGGTGTCTCGGGGCGGGGTCCCCCGGGCTGGTCCCGGTGCCCCTGGGGATGGTCGCGGTGCCCCCGGGGGTGGTGGCGGTGCGGGGAGCCGGAGGGAAGGAATCACCCTCCTGGACCGGGAGCGTTGCGCAAGGACCCGCCTTGTCACGCCGAAGCAGGACAGATCCCAATCCCCCCTCTCCTCCTGCTTCTTCCCGGCCGTTTTCAAGGCGGTGACGGGGTGCTGATGGATCCTGCGTCTGTGCAGCAGAACTGCGAGGCGGCTAAGCGGAGCCCACGGGCGCGGCGAGCTGGTATCAAGCCAAAAAACAAGCTTGTTCCTCAAACAAGCCAGGGGCAGGCTCTAGTTTTATTCCTTAAGTGCGTTCTGTTGGAGAAATTGTCGTACCGGGATCAGAAGTGCAGGAAGGGGATGGCAGACACCTTTCTCTCAGCAAATCTCTTTTAAATGATCAATGGAAAAAAACCCCTGTGTTTGAAGGCTCTGCCTTCCATATTCTCTTTCAAGGAAGTGAAGAAAAACAGTCAAACCGCAAGACCTTGAGGCGCCCGAGGGAGTTACACCCCTCTTTTGTCAGGAACGTGTAATCCCGCCTTTGTTTTCCTGGGCAGAGAGCTGAGATGCAGCACCAGCCTGCTGCGGGATGTTCTCCTGAGCGTTGCCTTTGGAAAACTGAGCCCTAAAACTGAGCTTTGTTCTTATTCCACCCCCAGGTCAATGTTGGGTGCGTGCCAAAGAAGGTAAGGGTGTTTGGCCACTGGGTCTGGTGGCACCTCTGGTGGCTTGGGTTGGGTCTGGTGTGGGTGCCTGCCAAATTGCAGGGAGGTGCTGGCACAGGGTGTGGGGAGGAAGGAACAGGGAGGAAGCAGGGCCTCAGAGTATATTGTGTCCCGTGGGCTGCTCTGGGCAGGTGTGAGGTATGGGGAAGTTTGTGGGGGGGTTTCCCCAAATCAAACCAGTCTTCCCGAGCCAACATGCGGTTTGTGCGGGCAGGTGATGTGGAACGCGGCTGTTCATGCGGAGTTTATCCACGATCACGCTGACTATGGCTTCGAAACACCCAGTGTCAAGTTCAACTGGAGGTAAGAATGGAAAGAGCCAGTTGGAAGTGAGCATCTCCCAGTGAGTATCCCATGGGGACCAGCCACAGGTCAGCACCGTGGCCCTTTGGCTCATTGCCCACCTCAAAGGGGTCCCCGCCTGCTTTGAGGTTTCCCGTGGGTGGGTGCAGAGCTGTTTCCATGGCTGTATTTTGGAAAAGAGGGGTGGCACACTGGCTGTGGGAAGAGGAGGCAGGCATAAAAACCGCGGGTTGGTGGGGAAGTGATCGCAGGGGGCTGTTTTATTTTGTGGCATGGATATATAATGTACCAACCTTTGACCGGTCACCACTTTGTGAACTAGTCCATGGCACTAATTGCCACATTGTTCTCCCTGAGCTCTTATCTGCTGATGGTGACAGTACTCCCTGCCCTGTTCCAGAACCATCAAGGAGAAGCGTGACGCGTATGTGCGGCGCCTCAATGACATCTACGAGAGCAACGTAAAGAAGGTGAGCGTGGGATGTGTTCATGCTGTGGGCCGAGTTCATGCTGTGGGCCGAGTGGGACAGTGGGCTCTGATGGTTTTGTGGCCACTTTTCCAGCCTTAATGGGTGTCCTCTTTTCCAAATGTGGGAGCCCTGGCTCCATTAGCCGTCTCCTGCAGCCCGTCCTTCTGTTAATCCCGTGAATGTTACCCCCCTCAAAGGCTCACATCGACATCATTCGGGGCTATGGGAAGTTCACCGCTGATCCTGAGCCTACCATTGAAGTGGATGGGAAAAAGTACACGGCCCCTCACATCCTTATAGCCACGGGGGGGCGCCCGGCTGTCCCTTCCGACAGCGAAATTCCCGGTGAGCCTGCTGAAATTCCCCAGGAGAGAGGTCTGCCAGAGCAAAGCCGGTCTGGGGAGGGGAAGCGGGGCAGGTAAGGGGTGTGAAAGGAGCTCTGCTTTGCAGGTGCCAGCCTGGGGATGACCAGTGACGGCTTCTTCAACCTGGAGGAGCTGCCCAGGTAAAGTGGGGCTCACCCCCCCCCCCCGTATCCACCAGCTCCGGCTCCATGTGCCTGGACACGGCATAGTTGCTTCTCCGCAGGCGCAGCGTTATCGTGGGGGCCGGATACATCGCGGTGGAGATCGCGGGGATCCTCTCCACGCTGGGCTCCAAGTCATCCCTGCTGATCCGCAAGGACAAGGTAATGCCACCCACCATCTGTCCCCAGCCGCGCTTCCCGCCTGGAAGTCACATCCCAGCCCACTGGGGTTTCCTGCTTGTCAGCTCCTTGTAAGGAAGGGTCTGAGTTGGCATGGGAATGATGATGGAGAGGATGGTGGCATTGGGCTGGTGGGTGTAAGGGGGATGTGGGGGGACATGTTTTGGCAGCCTGGACCAAATTCCTGTGTACCTGGAATTTCTGCAGCCCTGTGTGCCACCGCACCCGTTCTCTTGAGCTTTATTTCAAGTCACAACTTGAAAAGAGGATTAAAGGGAAAGAAAATAATGGAAAAACAAACAGAGAAGTTTAACCCGAAGCACCCCAAACCTTTCGGATCCCAGGAGCAGGGAAATGCTGGCAGAGGGGCTACCAGGCAGTGCCTTTGCCTGCAGACCCTCATCTGACAGGGCTGTGGGGTCCCTGCCCAGGTCCTGCGAACCTTCGACTCCATGATCAGCTCAAACTGCACCCAGGAGCTGGAGAACACGGGGGTGGAGGTCTGGAAGCACACGCAGGTATGAACGTGCAGAGCAGCCCTGTGGTTTACCCCGTTCCTCCTGGGGAGGCAGGGCTGGGGGAAAGCTGCCATTTTGGGTACTGCTTGATGGGCCGCAGTTTTGGTGACATTCCTGGTTTTGCAGCACAGCTGCAGAGCAAAAGCCATCGGCACCTTCTTCTCCTGAAGCAGCTCCTGTTATTCCCCACAGGTCAAGACTGTCACTAAGTCCTCTTCTGGGCTGCTGGATGTGACAGTGACCTGCTCGGTGCCCGGCCGCAAGCCGACGGAGGGAGTGATCCGGGATGTGGACTGCCTGCTGTGGGCCGTGGGGCGGGAGCCCAACAGCGAGGGGCTGTGCCTGGACCAAGTGGTGAGGTGGCAGCACGTCCCTTCTGTGCTGGTGTGAGAGTGCCCACAGGTCTCCGGGTGTTCGGGGTTCCCAGAGCCTGTCACAGGATGGTGCTCCCACCGCTTGCCCCCTCGCCACCAGCACGGTTCCCCCCACGGGCACGGCTTGTCCCTTCCCTCCTGGAGTATGTGCTGTTTCCCACGGCAGGGCGTGCAGGTGGACGCCCAGGGCCACGTGGTGGTGGACGAGTACCAGAACACCACCAGGAGAGGGGTCTACGCCATCGGGGACGTCTGTGGGAGAGCCCTCCTCACCCCGGGTACTGCGGCCGTGCCCCCCTCCCCTCCACAGCCCCTCAGTGCCACGCCGTGGCTCAGGCTCCCTTGTCCCTCCCTGCAGTGGCCATCGCGGCTGGCAGGAAGCTGGCCCACAGGCTCTTCGAGGGCAAGCAGGATTCCCGGCTGGACTACAGTAACATCCCCACCGTTGTCTTCAGCCACCCGCCCATCGGCACCGTGGGACTCACCGAAGGTGGGGACAGACAGGGCACGGGGCTGGGGATGCCGTGGCTCAGAGCTGCTGCTCTGCTGCTCGAGGAGGGGGTTTGATCCCCAGCAAGTGTGTCTGAGCCTTGGAAAAACGGGCTTGAGTCCCTCTCTGAATGCACACGCTCTGTCTTCTGCTGCAGAGGAAGCCGTGGCTGCGCACGGGAAGGAGAACGTGAAGATCTACAGCACGTCCTTCACCCCCTTGTACTACGCTGTCACCCAGAGGAAGGTGAAGTGCCTCATGAAGCTGGTGTGTGTTGGCAAGGAGGAGAAGGTGAGTGGAGGGGACCAGGGAGGGACAGCTGGGGGGGGGTGGGCACTGCAGCTGGCTGTCCTCTTGTCCCCGTGCGGTCGGCTCTGACCTGCTCGCCCCAGGGCCTGGGGTCAGAGTTCAAGCCTTCATTTTGGCGGTGCTGGGTCCCAACCGGCCT